AGAAAGAATGTGCATTTTTCAATTCATCACGATAAAATATTGATACTATTACAAAAGGTAATTGTTTCGGAGGGAGTGACAAAACGATACAGACACATTAGTGTTATAAATGTTGAAAAAAAAACCCAACTTAAGTTGGATCCAAGGGACAAAAAATATTTGGATACTATGCGAATGGTGGAACTTGGTATACACCAAGACTTGGGCGACGACAAATTGTCTACAGAAATATTGCATCTGATAAACAGAAAAGATAAGTTTTATCTCAATCTTTCTATCCCTAGTGGGTTGTCGCTCGCAATGGAGGCAACAGTGACTTGGTGAACAAGCAACGATAGAAATTCAATCCTGATAAAGAAAATAAAATATGTTTTATGATTCGAGCGCACTTTCCGCGGGGTCTGGCCACAGTGCGGGACAGAGCGGGTAGTAGGACACATCTAGTCCGCCATATGTAGGGAGAGTAGAGGTTATCTAAATTTGTGTCGGCCAAAATCATCAGCGAGATAAGGCGAGATAAGGTTGATATAAAACATGCTACCCGATATCACAACGTCAAAATATATAACAAAAATTTCACTGCATTTAAATGAATTACTTTAGACAAGCAGATTAGATTACATCTGTAAGTTGTAACGTTTTGACTCCCAAAGTCACAATGTCCCGCAATGAACGTTTATAAGCAATATAGGATCTAAATTGGTAGTTCGGAATGCGTATGGGCCTCAAGATGCAAAGTCCTGAGGGAAAATAAATCTTATCTAAGAATCAAAACAGAGTTATGGTTTTAAGTGAAAATGTTTCATTATTTTTATTTAGAACATTGCTATTTATCTTTATAAAAAAATAGGTTATTTGTATATTAGTATTTGTAATTGACACTTCAATTTATCAACGTCATGATAACTCTATTGTTACCGAGTTATTCTTGAATTTTATGTCGGTTTTGATAACGAAACTTATATAAGAAAACAACTAAAAATAAAAACAGATATTCAAAGGCCACATCCTGAAATAAATTTTTAAAAAAGCGAGTTGTTAACAAAAATTCAACTGCCGTGTTTTGAATGAACGAAACAACATCACGTTGTGAGTATTTGAATCAGTAATAAATTTCGGCTTAAGCTTTAGAGCCGGAGATATTTACAACTGTTTTCTATACTAATTGCTGATGTGACCTCTGGTATTGCGATGTTGGTCGGACCTCATCATCAAATGTCTCGGTTACCCTGCCCTGCCACTTATTACCGCCCGATGTAAACACAATAGATTTCCTTAATGAGCTGCATCCTGTATTGGTTTCGTTTAATTTCCTGATATTTCTTCTCTCTGACATTTAGTCTGAAATGACAAATCTTTTATATTTTTGTTTCATCAAAAAATGAAAGAGTGACAATTCTGATAACTAAATCAACTCCAAAATAACAAAAGCAGTAGAAAACAGAGAGCAAAATAATACATTGAATGTGAGCAATATATGAATACTGACACGCGATACCACTTATTACAGCCCAACAAAATGTTCAACTTAAGATGGACGCGTGCATATGGCAGAATTAATCTCCATATCAATCATGGTAATAGTAAAAACGGCATGAGATCAGCCAAGTAGCAAGAAAAAGCGACAGGGCCCAGCGTAGCGGACAAAAATTTTCTACATCTCACTGACTTCTTAATCTATATTTTTTTTCTTTTCTATTACCTTGGCAGCGCCTATGGGGTACGATCTGACAGGGCGGCGCCCACGAGGATGACAACACGGGCGAAAATTTACGATTAAATTGCACCGTGTCTACTTGGTAAGCATGGGGTACTCAGGTGTGAACACAAAACCAGCGCAGCCTTACACTTAATCATCAGCATTGACGTACATTGCAATTAATTCATTTTGCATCAGTCATCGATTTCAAATAAAAGATGACGATATTTTATGACTTAAATATATTGCTTTCCTTTTAAACTTTTGTTTAGAAATGAGATATTTAAAAGCATACACCTTCAGATTGTTAATGTTTTCCTTCTTTTTCAGATTTTCTTTTAAACTAAATTCATCGTGTTCTGTATTGGGAAACAACCATTGTATAAGCATAGTGAAGAAATACCACCCAGTCCGCCATGAAACAGGAGATGTGATACCATGTATAAAGCACAAACACTATCAACTGCGGTGGAATAGTTTTTATTACAAATATATGGACAAAGTCTCATAACGTTGTGTAAATAAAGATTAGTATATAAGGAATGTTGAACAATAAATATTGCTATACCGGGCCAGCCAGCTGTCCGCGGTTGTCTTAACTATATCACACGCTTTAACAGTCGCAGATCAACTGCATAGAATACAACTCTAAGTCGTAAATCATTGTCGTGTCTATAAAAAATTCTTAACATAAAAAGCGAAAGAAAAAAACAGAAAAAGAAACGATGGTGCACTTTACATTAAAAAAACCATCTACGACTTTTTAAGTTTCTTAAATTTTATGATCCTTCCTTCTGATGCTGCAAAATGTCAACGTAGTGTTAACACTTGTCATCATAAAGTTGAGCGACCCATCTCTGTTCCATGGCTTTTCTTATAACCGTAAGTGACAGTCACTGAATAGAGTTCAGATAAAATTTGATGGAACACGATTAAGAAGTAAAGAAAACGTCCGCTAGTCCGATTGTATATCAGAAAAGGAATATTATCTGTTTTGAGAACCTTTTCAATAAAGGAAAGAAAATGAAAAAAAAAAAAAAAAAAAGCACAAAATCTATACTATGGCTGGTACATTGTAATAAAACTATACATAACCATTACTGCTGTATTTTGATAAAATGAAACTATCGATTTTTTCCGTAATATTTAATCAATACAATATTTCACGTGGCCTATGTGAACTATAAACGAAAGCTTTATTAGTGAATAAATATATAAATTAGCTAATTAAAAATGTCGTTGACCATGGTCTGAAGGCTGATAAGATACTTAATAATAATGTAATAAAACTTGCTTGTAACAATGTCATTAAAAGTCGTCACGTTTTTAGGAATGACGTAAATGGATTTCCTCTTACACAAGTACAACTGTCATATCAAAAATACAAAGTCCTTAAAATGGGATGGTCTCCAGATTGCCCCGAACCCTATGGAAACATGTGTATACATATCAAATCAGTCGGGGAACAACACATGATATACATTGAAATTCATACCTCAAGAAACATTTCATTATCAATAAGGAAATCAAACCGAAAGATGTTATATTAAAATAGAATCAATATACTTTGGGAAAAGTGACAAGAAAACAAGCAAAATGTTAAAATGATCTACAAGATACAATTAAATTTCAATTACAGATGTGAATCATTCTACGGGATACACAGTATGAATGACAGATACAACGTTCTGGAAATATTGTAAAGCCAAAGTCACATGTTTTCCCTGAATAAAATGTTGCATGATATCACATTGTAATACACATTTGCAAACGCAACTTAATACATTGCAAGCTAACGTTATACAGCGAAAGTTAGCCATTGACAATTGAAATAGATATCCCGGAAGCAAACCTGTAGATGATATCTAATGCGTAAAATATTACACTTAAATACAGTTTTACTGAATTGTTAACACGATAAGATATTGTTAAACAAAAAATAAATCTTCACACCTAAAGAAAATTATCCTTTGACAGATCTAAACATCGTTATCAATTACCTTATCTGTATTCTGTATTTATAATGCAAGTTCTATCTTTATTAAAACTTAGATTAAAATCGTATTGTTGACCACCATATGGAATAAAAATGAATCTGGGTCAGTTGGTCATATCACTCATGGTTTCAGATCAATCGGTGTTGAAATCAGCAAAGCGTAGAGACTTCATTGTTTCTAATCCCTCAAGAAAGACCCATATCACGCTGATCTATACTAAATCTTAGTAAACCTGTTGTTGCCTTAAAACTCCCGAGCGATAAGACTTCAGCGGAACGCCCTATTTACCATTTCTGCGACCCTCAGACCAGGGGAATGTCAGAATTAAAGGAACCCATTGTGGGGGTATTGGTATTAGCCATGGTGCATCATGTTAACTGCACTTCACCCTGCATCTGTTCACAGTAGGGTAGTTGTTGATAGCAAACTGGAGATCCACTGATATCAAACCATAAATTTAGATGGCTATTACATCTGATAAAATATTTTCTTGGGAAATGCCAAAACCAAAGAGGTTCTTTTGGATCAAAAACTATAGATAGCTATCAACTCTACTGATAAGGAATATTATTAACTTTTGGAAAATGCATTAAATCTCTGCAAGAGCTGGTGAAGATAACGGTGTACACCGTCGGCCTCAAACACCAGCCCCATATTTTGCTTGTCAACAGCTCTACCGAAATGGCCTACCAAGATCTTAATCTTGAAGACCAACATCAAATCTTTCCCTCTGGAAGAATGGCTAATACCACTAAAACTCTATCAGTAACTTGTTAGCATAGTGTTAGTGAGATTTTCTTTGAAAACTACGATGATCTAAATTTCATTTAAGATACTATCGTGTTGTTCTTAAACCCTCTCGACATAGTCTTTTGTTATAAAATATAGGCAAGCGTTGATGGGTCATCGCAACTGTTCCTTTCCCTGAAGACTTTTTTCCTGTGTTTTTCAAAAAGTTAATCAAAAGCGATTTAACTTTTCCCATTGCATTAATACCACGACAGAGACTTTAACTGTCAAAAGTAGAGAGATAAATATGAGATCGACCATAGATCTTACCGTCAACAACGACAAAAACACAAGTAATTCCGACCACGTGTCGTGTACGATCTGCCCGATAGTAGGTCGAGCCCCTTGCTTTACATGAACTTAAAAAAAGATAACAGTAACCCCTTTCTATTATAAACATTATTTACGTCCGTACCGAACATATCTTGATTTGTTGACAACAAAGTTAGTAAGCAGTATTTGTGAAGGATACAAACATTGAAAATGATCATATATTGTGTCATCATTTTGTCGTAATATTATTTGGTTTCTATCTACTCAGATGTGACAAATATTCTACATCTTCTTATCGATTGCAATAACAAGAATAGCGAAAAATACTATTTAATTACTTTCAGATTTGAAATCAAGCTTAAGATAAAACATAATGATGAATCCTCGGCAACAGTCCTATAACATGATGAATCAGGGCATTAGTACTAGTCCAGTGGTACTTCCGGTCGGTCTTCCGAATGACGTCACATTTACTTGATGGGAATGCCCTCTACCAGGCGAATCTTACCGTAGGCGCCTACTTTGCGACAGCTTACGCTCACTACCTGTAACGACAAAATCTATAGTTAGCAAAATTTTCAATTTATTATTGAAAAATCATTTTGTCGGGCTGTAAAATTGTGATTTATTATTATTATGTGAAACTCTTGATTTGTAAATAATAGTGCTAATAATAATAGTATTATGTATTTACTAAAACTAACAATTCAAGTGAACATTATTGATAAACAAATATATACATTTGTGGATTAAGAGAGCCCAAAGAATCAATGAAAATAAGCCCCCTCAACTTCAATGTATATATAAACTATACTTTCTTAGACTATCCTCACATTTATATTTCGGACTGAAAGAATTAAGTGACAGTCTTTAATAGCATATGCTGAAAGGAAAAGTCTCTATTACACGAGTTGCATCGAATTCGAGAACTATCAAAGCAAACATTTATTTAATCTGCCAAGTCTGCACTTGTATCATTCATCAGCTGATTAGTGAAACAAAAGGTAATCCTACTTTTCATCACTCATCATCAATAATTTTTAACTAGTCAAACAAAGACCTGACGTTTTAAACAATTGTGATATGAAGGAAGGTACGTCTGAGGTGAGCTCCAACCAACAATATAAAGCAACGAAAGTTAAGAGAATGAAAATATTTTCATTACAGTATCATAATATTTGTCAAAAGGAGATATAGCAATGATGCTATGAGCATTGTCAATGCTTTCACGATAAATGAAACTCATATATATAAACAAACTATATACATATATATATATGGGTCTGTTTCAACACTTCACGCCAAACATCCACTTGTTGGTAATTTGGTCATAAACAGTTACATGGCTGCTCTTCAAAATTACAACCTCTTTATTTTTGGTTTAAACATTCTGTTTACATCTAACAAAATAATCCGTTCAAAGTACTATTTAAAACATACAAACATGATTTATAATGTTACCAGCATGTATTGAAACCATATGGGATGATTTTCCATCCATCTTCATATACTTACGTATACAATTATGGTACCTCCACTTATATCTGTTTAAATGGTGTGGAACATGAATACAAGTATGATTACTTTGGAAACTTTGCATGTAAGGCACTTCGGTGCCAATTTGTCGTCTTGTCTGGTGCACAACACCTGACGAAATGCCTTAGATTGGAAACAGGTTTATGACGAGATCGCTATCAAATGTAACCTATGAAATAATACCATTTTTTGTAGGAACATCTGTGCTAAGAAGCTTCCAAATCGTTTTACTTGATGGAAGGGTCTCAAAGCAAGTGTGGACGCTCCTGGGCGCTGAGGGGCACTTGAACCTACTTGAGACCACAAGTATGTTTGTCATATCAATGTTATAGCTAACAACAAAGTGGTCCCTCTCCACGCTTCATATCCACGTCACAATATTTACTTGCTGTTTCGGTAGGTTCCTTATATTGGTGGATGCACCGTCTTTGTAGACTAAACAATGCTCAAAGATGCTGATAGACTGATGTCGCTAAATATTATGAACTGTTGTTGGAAACAGTTTTCTAAGTTTCTCACCAAAAAGCTAATGTCTTTACTCACAGAAAAAAACAAACTCCATTCTCAACGTGGAGGTTTGACATAAAACAGACGTATATATAGAAAATCAGGCTAATTCAAATAAAAGTTTTTTACACTAACATTTGGGGGTATGTAATCACTCCGGCTGCCTAATGTAACACTAGTGCCTTTGTACCGTCTAACCATACCACTTCTCAACCGTCTGTAACTACGTTCATATACTTCAGCTCCCACAGGACTGTGTGTTAATATTATTAATGACACAATAACGAACGGTGTTTGAACTGAGGCATAAAGAGACGAATGATACGAACCAGGTATATAACATAGCGATAACTGTCACAACAATTACTTACAATCCAACCCTTCTTCGTCATAACGTATAATACAACATGCTGAGAGTTTTATTCTTATTAAATACACCAACTTATTCAAACATGTGTCCTCTCAAAACAGGTTGTGTTTGATAACCTTATACAAAATTGTTCTTACTCTAAAAATATAAGGAGTTCAGTTTTGTAAATTAAGTTAATGATAGTTTAGTTCCCCTTATTTGAATGTTTTGTTCTAAGAACACAACAAACTTGTCATAGTTTACCGGTGGTTATTGCAAAATTTTAATTGTTACCACTGGAAATACAAAGAATTTCAAAGTAAAAAAATGACACTCTATATTACATCAAACTGAACTGTCTCAACAAATCAGCTAGAACGTTTTAAACGGTATTCCAAATGTTGTTTAATTTGTATTTGAAAATCTTATATTACCACTGATTAGCCAAGCTTTGAGTTTTTGAGTTATTTTAAAAGGCTTTCAAATGCTTTTGTATATTCCGTCACTCCTCAGTCGAACCTTCAGTGCGTTACCAAAAACGAACTTTCCACGAATGAAATTTATATCCATAGAAAGTCATAAAGTGTCCTATTACATGTGAATATTTGCAAGGAAAATATATTGATGGAAATAGAAGACGTTGTTAGCTTTATAAGTAGCTTATGACAATTGATATTGAGAGTGTAACTTTTCAATTTCAATAACAGTGAATGTATTTGCATTTCGTGTAATATTGAATTGTCAAACGTTCATGATAAATTCTTCAATTCAAAATAAGTCCATGAAATAAACAGTTAAGTCATTTCAACAGGCATGATTTGCTTCCTATTTACAGTCGAAACGGTTTCGGTTAGATTCGACACGATTCCCAACTGAGTTTAGCAAAAGCGTACGGAGCGTGCTGCGAGTATCTACTAACAGGTGGAGCAACTAAGTCATCACGTACGAAATGTGAGGGTGTTGGTGAGAACTGATGGACAAACGAGTGAAACAGAGATGTTAATATCCTTCCCACGACACCAGACTACACCAGGGAAGTTCCTAACAAACAGCTACCAGTGTTTCAATGGTACACCAAAACAATATTTTCTTTCAATTTCATAACGTAGTTTTTTAAATCCTCATAACATTTGAACACTGTGATTTTTTTCACATTACCTGTGTTTAACATTAAAATGAAATTTTTGATTCAGCACCAGTGAACATTTACATTGTGAAACATTTCGAGATGTATTTATCTATTTTTTTAGTTAATACATTCTGCATTGATGCTTACCTATGATATTAAAAACCATGTTTAAGTAATAAATCTGTGTTGATCCAAAAACCATGAAAGATTTCTGTCAAATCGTACTGTAATCGCTTTTTTCAAAACATTAATAATCCTTTCCAATAGTAAGTTCATAACAAAGAAACCAGTCACATAATATAATATCATTTTAGCCATATGCGATATTCAGTTTGCATCACTTCGGCTGCATTAAACTTTTGGTTTAGATACCGATGATAACATTACGTGCAATCTACCCTCGTTATAACGTCATTTTTTGACAATAATATCTTTCTTTGAATTTTATATGACTACAAGAGTATATGGGTCATCTTTCGATCGATTTCTAATGTTTGTGACATTTTTGGTTATTATTTCAATAACACGAGATACGGCAAAACATGTTTGTATTTACATTCGTACAGAACACCCACTAGCAATATACAATATACCGAAAATGATAAAAATTGGTTTCTCGAAACAAACCAATAAGATCATATCATTATGAATATATATTACCTTCAAACCTTTTAAACCCTTTTTTAAAATCCTCGTCACTGACAATGTCCCAATATACATAACACCTAACACAATTAATGAAATGTTTAATAATACGTCAAAATTTACCAAAATCAACCATAATGTCCAATCTCACATCAAATATTACATCATCACAGACAATGTCTCAATCTTACATTAAACGTCATCTCATTAACGACAATGTCTCAATCTTACATTAAACGTCATCTCATTAACGACAATGTCTCAATCTTACATTAAACGTCATCTCATTAACGACAATGTCTCAATCTTACATTAAACGTCATCTCATTAACGACAATGTCTCAATCTTACATTAAATGTCATCTCATTAACGACAATGTCTCAATCTTACATTAAACGTCATCTCATTAACGACAATGTCTCAATCTTACAAAAAAAAACATCATCTCATTGACGAAAGTGTCTCAATATTACATTAAACGTCATTTCATTGGCGACAATTGTCTTAATCTTACATTAAACGTCATCTCATTAACGACAATGTTTTAGTCTTAAACCTCATCTCACTGATGCCAAAGTCGTTATCTTACATCAAACATCGCCTCATTGATGACAATGTCGTGGTCTCATATTTAACGTCTTATCGTTAATGACAATGTCTTAATCTTACAATAACTGTCACCTCCTAAATGACAAAGAATGAATCTTACATTAAAAAATATTTCATTCACGACAATATCCAATCTTACATCAAGTGAGATCTTATCAATGACAAAACCAATCTAACATGAAATCCATCCCCGACAATGTCCAGACATTAGATAAAATGTTACCGACTTATCAGTAATGTCTTGATCTAACATCAAATGTTACCTCATTTAATACACTTATAATGATTGAATTTTGCAACAGACATAAGATCCTTATTGATATACATTGCACCAGTAATTTCACTAAACTTTACATTTCAGTAATGCCAGCAAACATTCAACATACTGTAAGCATCCTGAAATTAAGAATTCGGACATTGTGAAGCTAGCTAATAAATCGTATTATTAGATTTATTTTCTTCAAAAAAGAAATTCTGGCAGTTGTGTCTATAGACCCGGATTCTGGTGTATATTGCAAGGAATGAAATAGCATCACAGATTGCGGTTAGTTTCCTATTCTTTTATCACGATTTTTGTGGAATATGTCGACTGCCTATGGACAAAGCCATAGCATAGAGCGTGTTCATAGAATCAGCCGCGATATGTTCACATTTCTTTGTGCGATATGGAGCTGGACGTGTTTGATGCTCGTTAATTTGCCAGTTGGTGCCATTGCTATATACCTGCTCGTTTGAGAAAGTGACATTACTTACTAGGATTGACAGAGAT